TAAATGGATTATGTCTATCGAAATTGAAATTGTTGTTGATAAATAGAAATCCCGAATTTTACCTAAAAAGTATTGTTTAATTTAAGTTCATTCTAACTTAATTTAAATGAAAATAACACTAATAATTTCGTGCGTCCGAAGCCCTTTTCTCTATTTACCTTCATCAGGAACGCTAAAACTCAAACAGTTAAAAGCCTATGATGTAAGACCAACACACGTGAAGAGCTGTATGAACAAATAGGACATACCATAGCAAAATTCATCTAATGTCTACTTTACCTGAAGGAGTTGGCAGCTTAGTTTCTTAATCAACGGCGAAAACTTTGTTATAAACCCTTATTTTATTGATTTTGTATTTACATTGTATCATAGATCAAATTTATTCGTTCAGTGTATGTTCACTTGTGTTAATATGTCTTTTGATTGAGTTAAGCTATTTCAAATGATATTTTATAGTGTGTCTTTCTATGTTGTGATGTTACACTATTGTTTCAGATAAGGGTGAAGGTTGGGTACCATTAAAACGTTTAAACCCGCTGCAATTGTTTGCACCTGTCCTTAGTAAGAAATCTGATGTTCAGTAGTTGTCGTTTGTTGATGTGGTTCATAAGTGTTTCTCGTTTCTCGTTTTTTATATATATTAGACCGTTGGTTTTCCCGTTTGAATGGATTTACACTAGTAATTTTTGGGGCCCTTTATAGCTTGCTGTGCGGTGGGAGTTAATGCTCCGTGTTGAAGATCGTGCTTTGACCTATAATGGTTTACTTTTATAAATTGTGACTTCGAGAAATATCATATTTTAACCTAGTTGTTTCGTTGAAATCGGTTAGTGTTACGTACCCTTTCCGAGACCATATATTAAAACAAACAAAATGAGTTCATACCAAATTTTGGAAGGATAAACAAAATCATTTTAAGGTTTCATTTGTTTTCTTATTACGCAGTAATTAGATTTTACCCAAAAGAGTGTAAATATAAAAAAAAATCAGAGATGATTTATGTTTATTTTGATAATTGTGTATCATTATTGGAAGTTTTTTCTATTTAATATGGTAGATTATTTACTTTAAAATGTAAAACCCAGTGACAATGATTTGCGCCTTTTGTTTTCTTTAGTGTACTGGATCATGATTACCTGTCTCCTAGCATATATTTTTGTTTTAAAACTGATTCTGAGACCAAAAGATAAAAAAAAAAACAAAAACGCGTAATAAATTTCAGTCATCCGAAGCGCCTTACTCTATTTACCTTCCCTGGGATTTATTTCGCCTAAAACCGAAGATTTTAAAGCCAATGATACATTAGAACAGTTGAAGAGCTATCTTAAACAGTAGCAACATTTATTTAATGTCCACTTTGAGGAATCTTAGTTTCCTAATAATTTATAAATTTATAAACTGACAACTTAGAATGGTTTGTTTTAAATCATAGCAGTACCGAAATGATAAAACATAGCTGTACCAACAATACTGAGCAGTGAACACTAAATTTGTCGTCTGTATATTTTCAATTCCGCAATCAATTATTGGGAATGATTAAATTGCAATGAAATTGAACAAAAGTGCATCTACAGCCTTTATTTGGTAACAGATGGCGAAGACGTCACAAAAAATCTAATTTGGTTCTTTAAAGTAGAAAATCTCAAAGTGTTATCAATCAGTTTAGACGGATTTATAAAAGTTTTTCAAAACTTGTTTCTGAATCTAATATTAGACTTCCAAGTAAAATTCTACTGCTCCGATGTTTATTATATCTTCATTAAGCAATAAAATACTATTCTAAACTAAATTAGTTTATTGTATAAGAACGTTATATCCTAAATATTGCTAAATAAAGGTAAGATTTGGTCGTTTTTTAAGTTCAGAGAATAAATAACATTGCTACGTTTCTAAAATCTTTCAGTATACGTTTTAACCTGGGCGATAAATTTATGATTGAAGAAAGCACGTTGATTTGAGAGACTGTATTGCACAAAAGGAATTCTTCCTACTCGTTGAATATGACGTCAACTCCATAAAACACATTTTCTACGTATATTACAGCAAGACAATGACGTCATAAATTATGACAAGGCAGCAGGTGGAATATATCTCGAAAAGTAAAAATATACCATCACCGCAAGATATAGGACAACGGGGATACATATTTGTTCTATAATATATTAATATTAGGTCAACATTTCAATATTATTCATACAAAGAGATACGTTTTATCGTATTTGCTATAAATAATGCATGACCTGAAATATCAAAATCATAAACTATGAAATGCCTTTCGTGAAAATTTAGTATATGTTCATATAGTAAGTAAAGGAGAAAATCACAGGGCACTTGAACTGCTTATAATAAGCCGATATTTTATTCAAATAATTGTATCTCAAAGCAAGCACATTAACCAACATATCGTTTTTTTTTATCATAAATGTGATGTTTTACATTATCTACAACAACAAAAAAAAGTCTTGAGTTATAAAAATGTTGTTTTGAATTCAGCAAGGAATATCCTTTATATACTGAATGAATACGAGTTGAACATCGGTAAACTACCGCCTTCTAAATACATGATTTGTGAAGATTTGCAGGTTGTCAATGCTTAAGCAAATATATGACCAACGTCTCTGCTTTGATGGAATTACATTAGGTAATAAGAGTACTTGTCAAGCGTTTTAGCTGAATTTCTGGGTGCATTAAAGTAATCATCGAATTGGAATATTGCTACACTTTTTACGTTTGTATATTGATTACTTTGTATTGTCGCAGTTCTGTATATCAAACTATGTGGCCACCAAACTAGGCAGCACGGATGCTGGGAATATGCAGTTCTATTCACTACAGATTATCAACTCAAATAAGTTAATAACATCTTGAGATGACATTCCTCTAGACAACATGAGACTAAGAGTCAGAATGTCAATGCCGATATAATACCCAGTTTATACCAAAAATACCATGAAATTATTAAAAAGTTAATTAAATTACAAAGGTTTGGTAGATGAAAGGTATCCTGATCAAATGGAATAAGAAACAATTCACATTCTGAATTCACTAATGATCTATGAAGTCCTTCGGTATAGAAACGATTTAAATGATAAATTTTGTTTGTTTTAATTCAAAAGTATGTAATCATGATAAATCTAAGTTGACAACTCCTTCAGACAAAGATGACTTTAGACGGGTTTGTCAATCCAATTGGTACTCTTTAAATTTTCATGCCCATAAATTTTCATATTTTTGACTATCCAAAGTTTTGGTAACCAGCGCCACCTATTGAAAGTTAATCATATCTGGGTTTTTTCAGAAACAGAAATATTGCATAAACCTTTATGACTGGTTTCTTTAATAATTATCGTATCTAAATTAGCGAACAAATTCTTAAAAAAAATCAGCAGTAATTCAAGTACTATATATATAGTATTTTGCATGTTTATTTTCAAAAGAGAGGCGAAGGATACCAAAAGGACATTCAAACTTCTAAGTCGAAAAAAAAAACAGACAACGCCTATTCATACTGACTGCGACTCACTGGAGTATTTGTGATAAATGTGGAAGTGAGAGAGTCTAGAGTCACTCTAAACCATTAGTTCAATATTGCCAAACGATCATGGCTCGCGTTTTCCTATTTTATCCGCAAGATTAGGGAAGTATTGAGAATTGAATTTTGAAATTGCAGTCTTCCTTTTCGTGTGACATTACACAAGAAGAATAGTTTCTACACACATGACGATTCTAAACAACTCGAACACCTCATGCTCCAATTTCTTTACCTTAAGAACAGAGAAGTTATATGGAAAAGCGTTTAGGTTAATCCGACCACAAATCTATAAATGAACAGAACTGTAAAAGAAATTAAAATTAATTGATTGAAGGATTATTTGCTTCCAACACACTCAAAGCACTATTTTTTTTCTATTCAACCTAAAACTAAAATCTTAAAAAAGAACAACATGTCATGAATATCAATTTTTCGGAAAATGATCAATGGGAATTTTAAAGAATACACATCGCTATTGTACCTTTCGTCTCTTTCGATAATATCTGGCATAAATTTAAATATGTCTTAGATTTAAACAAAATACAACGGGCAATCCTCTATTGTATAAGGCCTTAACAACGATTCTTGAGTTATCATTGAATTTTAACACAAGTAAAACGGCGCGCAGTGTTTGTTGAGCAGGAACTTCGCAACACTTCTGGAGAATCTGTGGGACATGTTTTGAGTACTTCGTCTTATTGGCTATGCTGCTTGTCGTCTGAAGATTTTGGATCGTTCCCCATTAGGTTATATTACCAATTTGTTACCCTTTAAATTTCCCGAGAATAAAAAAATATGTTTGATACCATTCTTGAACATTTTTAACGTAGTAGCAATGAGTTTAAATAAAGATAGAACAGTCGTTGTTTAAAGATGTAATTCATTGCATAATTCAAGTGACACCACCAAGATTTATAAATTTAATTAAAGGAAGAAAAATGTAAATTTTGTAACCATTTAGACTGAAATGTTACAGGACAAAATTTTTGCTCATAAAAAAAATCGGTGCCAGCGAATAATTTTCACAAATATGCAAATTACACAGCATAGATGTTGTGCGTCTGAAACGCTTTTCTTAATTTATACTTCACCAGGAACGCTAATACCTAAAAACAAAATTGGGTTTTCCATGCATAATCTATACAAAATCTGACAATTTTGCACAACCTGTAGCGTGAAAAAAAGCCCAGTGACCCATACTTTTTATCATAATTTTGAAAAAAGCATGATATAAACAACATTTTGACAAATATTAAGAAATTCTATGGATTTTAATTTAGGCCCCCATCTACCTTAAGCGAGAATAATGAATTTTCTATTTACTTCGGAGAAAAACATATTTTCAATAAACCATTTCTTATGAAGTATGAAAAGATACAAATATTAAAAATTGAAATTCTAACTTGGAGAAAGTTAAATTATAAATTCGACCTTAATTTGGGGATTCTTGTTTTACTTTGTTGATTACCTTTATTTTTGCCCTCAGCTGATGCATATCTCGTTCGACATGACAGTTACCAGGTGCTGTCCTTTTCCAAAGAATGATGCCAATGACTAAATATGTTATTGAAAGTATCGTTAACGGAATGATATAGGTCAGTAACAAAATGAAAACCGTATAAATTTTACGGGATAGATATGGCGGCCAATGTTCGTCACAAACAGTTATTTCGTTCGAGATTTTTTTAGTTTTTCCTACAAATAACTGTATCGATGCTAATGATATCGCACAAATCCAAACAATGCAAATGACATATTTTCCACGTCTGTAAGTCAAACGGCGGTGTAACGGAAACATAACGGCGATGAATCTGTCTACTCCAATCGCCATATTTGTAAAAACACTAGCAGCGACTGACAAGGGTTGCAGAAATAAAACAAGGGGACACATTATATCGGGAAACACCCAACGCTGACAAATAACGTCCGCAAACGTAAATGGCATGCAAAATATCGCCAAAACTAAATCGGATGCTGCTAAATTAATCAGGTAAATCCGTAAGTCTGTCCTTGATCTTCGTCCCCTCGCAAAAACAATAACAACAAATAAATTCCCTGCTATAGATAAAAGAGTAGTCAATGAATATAAAACGATCAATCCTATGAGTCCATCTTCTGGAATTGGCGGATAAACGTAAATATTGGAATTATTCCTAAAACTTGAAGAGTTATTACTTCCATTTAACTTCAAATCACAATTTTTACCAAATGTTGAATTATAATCCAGTAAACATGTTGAAACATTAATATGATTTTGGTCCAGAAAATTTGTAGAAGAGTTATAGTCATTTATAAATGTCATGATTTATTTCCATATCTATAAAAATAGGGATAAAAGATAAAAAGTAAATTCCTGATTATCTATTTTCCTGTAAGAATATCGTACATGCTGCAGAGGAATTTCTGTCGGAACTAAACATCGTCAATACGTGGTATATACATCCCTAAGAATGAAGTTGGGTAAAGAAGACATGTACCTTTGTATGTTACTTTGCCTGTAAATATCAATGTGTGTTTGTAATTGATTCTCGGATGTAAGTTACTTTGAGGATTCACCGTAATTAATACTGAAGTAAATTTCTGTTAATACGATCAGCTTTATCTATTCCACTAGAGAACAGAATCATCCTAATTAATAAAACCAATATTAAGAATTTAGGATATAACTCGAATGTGACATATTCCGATCGTTTTTAGATTTACAAACGATTTCTGATACACTGATCTTTACTTGTCATGTAATATTAATTTCATGTTGTTTTATAATATAAATAAACAATGACTAATATAAAATTAAACGTACATGTTTTTCTATTACAGATAGTCAGTAGTAATTATTTCATATCTTTACTAATTATACACAATAATTCTTTGACTAATTGTTTCTGGAACTATAGACAAAACATAAATGCATGCTCAACGTTATCTATCAAACTCTATAAAACTTAACAGCTTTGTCTGGCTAATCCAATACTGCATATATAAGTGCATAAAAGTGCAACTTTAGTTTTAAGAGAACTTTAAAGTACATTTACATGTCAAAAATGAAATCATCTGCCCGATAAGAACGATTGAAAAATAAAATAAAAACCCGAGGCAATTAACTTAATAAATATACACGAAAGTGGTATAAAATGCTCTTGAATGATATGCAAATACCAGGTTTAAATGTGCTAATAATCAAAATAACGATTCAATTTACAACATGTGCGTCTTGACAGTTAAATGTTTCAATGTCAAAAATTCTGCAAGGGAAAATAATTCCAAAACTTTGTTAAAATTGTTAATTACATTTGACTCTACAAAAGATACGCTGTCTGTACACAGAAGAACCCATCCCCTATAAAATTTAAAAACAAGAATAACTTCGTTTGTATATACTAACCTGGCATCCTGGCCATAACTCCTCTTCGTGTAAGGATCCCAGGCTATTTTATAGACTTAAGAATCTTGTAAGAACAAAGTGCCGCGATATTTTTGAATATCAATTTTTTAAATTTTGTTTTAATTTTCATGTCATATTATTTACCGTTTTAGAAATATTTTCTTGCTAATGGGTTTCTTGATGTCGCACTGTGATTAGATCATTGCAGTTATACCTACATGATTATTTTCTTTTAAACCATTACTCAAAATGATGATTATAAATTTTTACTAAATCTTATAAATGACAAATAAAAAAAGGACCGATTTGTTTTCGTTTTCATAATGTTTGCCACTCTAACTCAAATTGGGCAAAAGTGCATGCGATGTTTTACGTAATTCAAATAGTTTACTAAAATTTGCTCTTAGTTTTACGATAACTAAATTGGTCTAAATTTAATAATATAATTTCAAATATGTTTGACGTATATGTTAATAATAATGCTTTTCTAGATTTATTTTTGTGAATATATTATTTGAATTTTATTGTCTTCTCGGAACCCGTTGTTGTTTACCTATGCAACCATGTCGCGTATGTTTCAATGTATGACTGTCAGGGGTTGCTTTACTATAAAAAAAAACCCTCGCTTGCCAGACGTAAACTTTTCGTTTCGGTAAGAAATTAAGTTTTTAAATACATGTTACAACAGAGAGACACCATAACAACATTTCTATTTTGTGTTTATTTAATTCTGGGAAAGAATATAAATGTAAGTTTAGAAGAAAATTGACAATTAACCTTTTTCAGAATCCAAAAAAATAAATGTGGCTTGTTTTGTCATTAAAGATGTCAGTTAAATAGCCATGCTATTGACAAGTCAACAAAGCTTAGGAAAATTTATATTTTTCGAAATATTTTTCAATGTTGAATTAAATAAGAAGCGTGTTTTATTATTGTTGAAGGCTATGCATACTGAATGTATGTAACGTGTCTTACCTGAGAAATAATTTGAATTTTGAATAGTACCCAATACGATATCATTATACATTTTAGTTTGTAATTACATTAAGAGACACAACGAAATAAAAAAAAACATTGGACAGTACAACAGACCAAACCAATCATCAAGGATTAACCCTGTTGAGAAATAATTACAAAAACAATCTACAACGAACTCCACATTGTACAGAAAGCCTGACTTGGCACAGGCACACGAAGTGTAAGAGGTCAACCAATTGTACGAGCGCACACGACTCCTCATTTGTCTATCGGATCTGAACCGTCGTTCGTGCTTCAAATTCTTTAATATTAAGTTTAGTTTATTGTTCATACTTTCCCGTGTCTGCGTAATTAATTTTGGGTCAGCAAGTGCTTTTTTGTAAGGGAAAGAAATTCTGTCTGTCATGTACAATGATTTTTTTTGGTATTTAGACCTCCTTGTGGGTATTCTTCTTGTCTCTACAATAAATAGCTTATTATCTTTATCGTTATAAAAGGGTGGGATATTTTATAATTTTCAGAGAAAGGAAAAAAATATATGTTGTTGCAAAAGTAAGAATGTGTAAAATGGATAATAAACACATTAACAAAACTTTATTGTATAAATGAAGTCATTAAGAAATGCTGTTTTATCTTGTAAAGTTCGAAGGTACCATGCCTGAAAGAATAAAACATAAACAAATTAATCATTAGAAATGTTAGAAATGCTAGCAGTATATTTAAGACACGTCTTTGTCTTTAGAAACAAATATGAGTCTGTTTTACTGTGATAAGAAACATTTTCCAATTGCCCATCCTTATTTATTGTGTCGTCTGACAGCGAAGCTGTAGCGACGCATAGTGATCACTTGTTTTGTCTTCCGACGTCTGCGTCATACTTGTGCCGGTCTGGTGGATGGAGTATACAGAATAGAGAAAAATGAACAAAAAGTGCAGAATAAAGGGCAATAAAAATAAAAAATAGTGAAAAAAAAGACAAAAATAATACAGAATAGAGAATAAAGGGGTGTTAAATTATAGAGAATAATGGTCAAGCAAAATAAACAATAGAGAAAATTGTCTACAAAATTGAAGAATAAAGTAACAAGAATGTGTCCATAGTACACGGGTGCCCCACTCGCACTATCATTTTCTATGTTCAGTGGACCGTGAAATTGGGGTCAAAACTCTAATTTGGCATTAAAATTAGAAAGATCATATCACCGGGAAAATGAGTACTAAGTTTCAAGTTCAAGCTCATCAAAGACTACCTTGACCAAAACTTTAACCTGAAGCAGGACAGACGGACGAACGAACGGACGCACAGACCGAAAAACATAATGCCTTTAGGTGGGGCATAATAAAGGACCCCCATCCTGATTATCCTCTCTAATTGTAAATCTACAACTCCGTGAAAACGAGTCGACGTAATTTAACCAAGCTATTGTAAATTAAACTGTACACTGTTAACCACAGGATTAATTTGTGCGCTGTTAAACATATGGTTAAACTGTACGCTGTAAAACACACCAGGGTTAAACTGTACATTGTTGAACACAGGACTAAACTGTACGCTTTTAACCAGAAGGTTAAACTGTACGCGGTTACACAAATGGGTTAAACATATTTTCATGATTAGATAATGTTTTGGTTTTATATTGTTACGTTGCTGCCTCATTGACATTAAACCCGGTTCGCCTTTACTTCACTTATCAAGATTGTATTCACTATGAATCATATCGCCGCATGCTGTAATTATAAATGTGTACTTACAAGGATGTAAAGCGACACATGTTGTGTATATATGTGTGTACTTACTATGAAGCATAGCGACACATGTTGTGTATATATATGTGTGTACTTACTATGAAGCATAACGACACATGTTGTGTATATAATTATGTGTGTACTTACTATGAAGCATAACGACACATGTTGTGTAAATATGTGTGTACTTACTATGAAGCATAGCGACACATGTTGTGTATATATGTGTGTACTTACAAGGAAGTAAAGCGACACATATTGTGTATATATGTGTGTACTTTCTATGAAGCATAGCGACACATGTTGTGTATATATGTGTGTACTTACTATGAAGCACATCGACACATGTTGTGTATATATATGTGTGTACTTACTATGAAGCATAGCGACACATGTTGTGTAAATATGTGTGTACTTACTATGAAGCATAACGACACATTTTGTGTATATATGTGAGTACTTACTATGAAGCATAACGACACATGTTGTGTATATATGTGTGTACTTACTATGAAGCATAGCGACAAATGTTGTGTATATATGTGTGTAATTACTATGAAGCACATCGACACATGTTGTGTATATATATGTGTGTACTTACTATGAAGCATAGCGACACATGTTGTGTATATATGTGTGTACTTACTATGAAGCATACCGCCACATTTGTGTTCATGTTTGTACTTACAATGAAACATAACGCCTCACATGTTTTTATATGTTGGTATTATGAAGCATAGCACCACATGTTCTAAAAGATTGATACTAATTATGAAGCATAGCGCCACATGTTTTTATATGTTGATACTTACTATGAAGCATATCGCCACATGTCTTTATATGTTGGTAACTACTATGAAACATAGCGACACATATTTGTATATGGTGGTACTAACTATGAACTATAGCGCCACATGTTTTCATATGTTGGTACTACCTATGAAGCACAGCACCACATGTTTTTATATGTTGGTACTAACTATGAAGAATAGTGCCACATGTTTTTATATGTTTGTACATACTAAGAATCATAGCTCCACATGTTTTATATGTTGGTACAAACTAAGAAGCATAGCGACACATGTCTTTACATGTTGGTACCTACTATGAAGCATATCACCACAAGTTTTAATATGTTTGTACATACTATGAAGCATATCGCCACATTGTTATATGTTGGTACTTACTATGAAGCATAGCGCCACATGTTTTTATATGTTGGTACTATAACTAAAACGCATAGCTCCACATGTTTTTATATGTTGGTACTAACTATGAAACATAGCTCCACATGTTTTTATATGTTTCTACTTACTATGAAGCATAGCGCCACATGTTATTATATGTTGGTACTAACTAGAAAGCATAGCGCAACATGTTTTTATATGTTGGTACTTACTATGAAACATAGCGCCACATGTTTTTATATGTTGGTACATACTATGAAGCATAGCGTCACATGTTTTTATATGTTTGTACTTACTATGAAGCATAGCGGTACACGTTGTATACTGGATGTTACATTGATCCCCTCTACAACAAGCCTGGCACAACAACATATCATCAGGCAGTTGATCTTTCTTGGTTTGAGGTGGCACGATTACTTCTCCAAAATTGTAACTATCGCCCCCTTTCAAGCATGCCTACAATGAAATTAATCAATTAAATACCGAAAATATGATAAATGTTTCCTGTATTTATATGTAGTGTACAAGTTGTGATTTTGTAAATGTTATAGTAATTATACGTGTAATAGTTTTAATTCAAAACTTATGCAAAATGGCCCACTACAAGTTGTCAAATATGTATTTAAACTTATAGAAATGTTATATGAAAAGTGTGAAGAGCAACACTGTATATGTTTCTCCTTTGTTTCAATAGACATACACGATTTGTTACATGTATACTCATTTGTTATCTATGTAGTGTTTTGTGGACTTATTTGTCTTTTCATCATCGTATTTCTGTTTTTGCCATGGCGTTGTCAGTTTCCCTTCGACAAATAAGTTCCGAATGCCCTATTGGTATTTCTCGCCTCCTTTTTACACACTTTGCACGAACTATGTCCTAGTTTTGCACAATCCTTTTCAGAATACACGTACTTAGATTACTAACTATGTACAGGTTTAGAATACATGCAATTAGACTACTAACTACCGGTATGTACTAGTTTTTTTTCACATTTTTGTTTAAGAATACATGTACTTACTACTGGTTTTAAAAAAAAAATTCCAGATACCTGGAATACTTACTACTCGTTTCTCACATCCGAGATCGTGCACTACATTTCGATTCCTGATGAAGGTTTTCAAGCTACACGCCTATCAATGTAAACAAAGTATCATATGTTACACCACTATTGTTTTTATTTCACTTATTGTTTTTAAAGGAAAAAAAAATCAATAAATAATGGTTTTAATTACCTCACTTGTGTGAAATTGAAATATATAAGAAACGCTAGTTAACTACGCATCAGTGGTTGTGGAAATTATGGGGTTATCACATAGTAACTTTTCCTTGTACAATAGAGCCCCACTAAAAAAGTCAGTAAATATGTACAACTGCGTTTCGAATTTACGAGCCTTATGTTACCTCAAAATCTAAAACCTTTTTTTTTCTATTTATTAATTTAAGTACATTTTTTATTGATAACAATAAAATTATGAAACTTTGTGTGAATGTCAATGAGATTTCATCACATAACCAAGACAAGTACATACCTCGTCATCCTGACATTGTAGAAAATGTGTGCAACTCGAAAAATCAGTAAGACCCTGTTGATTACAACAGTGATCAGCAGGTGCCAGATCTGTTAAAAAGAAAGTTGATAGTATCTCATCGGTATTCTACAACCATGACAAGAATGCAATTTTCATAGATAGTTGATTCACAAAGACAGAGATAATGGGTTGCCATGACATAGAAAAAATGATATGATGGTAATTCAAAATTCAACGATAAACAATTATTTGATTCAAAGAAGACAAAACATGTAATGTATAATAAGACAGAATTTCACAAAATGCTAAAGTTTTAATATTATATGAAAAACTACTTTTTTATTCCTGTTCTTTGTCTCTTCAGTTGCTTGACTAGAGCGGTATTTTTCATATTCTCGAGAATCGCTACACATGACCTTGAGACAAAATTTGTTTTGGGTTTCTGCCGAGTGTAAGAAGAAATTAAGTCCAATTAAGACAACATATCCTTTCTTTTCCATCAAGAAAAGTCAATAATCTGTTTTTAAAATTGATGGGGTCTCTTTAAATTTCAATCATTTGTTGATCGACTTTGGTCATTATCGTAAAACAACCTTCTATATATAGAAAACATAAAATAAACCTGAATTAGAAAGACTTTTTTATTGGAACACTTGATTGACAAAAGTAAGCTTGAAGTTGGCAATAGAGGAATGTACAAAGAAAACTTTTATAATTTTTGGTTATTCAGTAAATCATGAATATAAACACTTTCTTCTTGGGATTTTTGGCGAAGGCTTTTTTTCTCTAGGTAATTTACACCAACATCGCAACTATTAAACTGTCGTGTAAGAATACATACTTTCCTGACACAGATTAGCATTACATGTGTCTGCACCACAACACTTGCTGCAACTGGTCGCTCGCTTCTTTCCAATGCCAAGAGATTGTAATAGCGTACACACCTACAAGTTGAGATATATATATCGTTCTTATACATGTATGGTACTATTCATTTGAAAAATGGTTGCTTTCTTGTAGTCTTATTTTGTTTAAAAGCGTTCACCAAAATAAAAATGAAAATATAATGAGGGAATGTGGTATGATTTCAAATAAAAAAACTAACCATATTAAAAAGTTAAAGAAGATGTGGTATGAGTGCCAATGAGACAACTCTCCATCCCAGTCAAAATTTATAAAAGTAAACCATTATAGGTCAAAGTACGGTCTTCAACACGGAGCCTTGGCTCAAACCGAACAACAAGCTATAACGGGCCCCAAAAATTACTAGTTTAAAACCATTCAAACGGGAAAACCAACGGTCTAATCTATATAAAAAACGAGAAACGAGAAACACATATGAACCACATCAACAAACGACAACTCCTGAACATAAGATTCCTAACTTAGGACAGGTGCAAACAATTGCAGCGGGTTTAAACGTTTTAATGGTACCAAACCTTCACCCTTATCTGAAACAATAGTGTAACATCACAACATAGAAAGACACACTATAAAATATCAATTGAAATGGCTTAACTCAATCAAAAGACATATCAACACCATTGAACATACACTGAACAAATAAATTTGATCTATGATACAATGTAAATACAAAATAAATAAACTAAGGGAAGAATAATTAAAGTAACATGTTAAACCGCTGTGAAATATTAAACAATTTAAGAAAAACAATATGCTTGAAAAAAATGTCAGCCATTTGCAATAACTTTAAACACAGGTAAATGAAAATAATAAAAGACTAAAGGACAAATATGTAAATAATTAAGATTCTAAGTAACTCAGATACATATACTGTAAATTCAGAAATTAGTGCGAGGTTTTTATTATTGCGAATAATGCGACTGGGTGAGAATCGCAATAATAAGAACTCACATTCTGATATCTGACAGATATATCTGGATGCAGCTTTTCCCCAAATCGCAAGAATTAATCTCGCATTTTTGACCATTTTGCCAAAATCGCAATATAAATTGCACGCAATAATTTCTGAATTTACAGTATTTTAGTTCTGTTTAACATGAAATTATGGATGAATCGGACAATTACAAACGACTTAATTATTAAAAGAGTTGTCTCCTATAACTGTTCACAAAGCATATTTTGTGTGCATGAAACAAGCAACTTAGCTATATTTTCAATACTAAAAACAGAATAAAACGAGTTGAGGAGATAGACCTAGATAAAGGGACAGCGCTCTTAATATATTTTTTACGTTAGTATCACCTATTTTCATCAATATATTATAAGCTTCTTAGTAACCCAGATAACATATTTCAATACTTTTTCTAAAGTTTTCATACTTCATCAAGGAAATCAATTTCAAACAATTTTGTTACACTTTTGATGCTCATTTCAAGTAGGACTCGACTTTTTATCGTAAATATGTTCATCAGACCTATAAAAGCATACATTACTTTTACAAATTGTGACTTGGATGGATAGTTGTCTCATTGGCACTCATGCAACATCTTCTCATATCTATTAACTCCTGCATGTTCTGTGTTTTAATGTTATTTATATGTTATTTATATTCGGTAAAAAGCTCCCAAGAGCTTATGTTTGTATTGCTATATGTGAACCGAATCAAAGTCAAACTTTCGTATTCGTATATACCTTTACATAACACGTACATACATCGCCTCCTCAATTCATTACCAGTTAGTATAAGTAAATCGAGCATACATTACCTGATCAGACATGTAACTAGCATACAATATTTTCTAAGACCTATTATATCAAGCATTTATTATAATTTGAAGACTATAACCAGCATACGTCAGTTCCTAGACATATGACCAGAAAATGTTACGTACTAGACCTATTAACAGTATACGTTAACTCCAAAAGATTAACCAGTAAAAGTTACTTCCGAGAACTATAGCAAGCATATGTGACGTCATAGACCTAAGACCAGCATACGTTACTTCATAGAACTATATCCAGCATACGTTACGATTAAAACTTTTAATCAGTATATGTTACGCCCTTGATCTATAACTATCATATATTCAGTCCCAGGTCTACATCCAAAATAATACGTAACATCCGAGACCTATAAACAGTAAACGTTACCTCTTCAGCAATTTAAACAGCAAATGTTACGACCTAGATATATAACCGACCAACGTTACGTTCTAGACCCACAACTTGCATACATAACCTCACCAGACACACAACCAGGATCCACTATCTCCTCGTGGTTAAACCAGCATACGTTACCTCCTTAGAAGTATAAACAACAAACTTTACCTCCACAATTTATATGTATAAGCAGTATACATCACAGTCTTAGATTATCTTTTGACTATAGTAAGCATAGATTATATTACTAAATCAGTAATACGACAAGAATAACTTGTTTAGATAAAACAGGAACAGCACACATCACCTCATTAGACTTGCAGCTTCCATTTAGTTACCTGTAATGCCTTCAACAAGCAAAACATACCTGCTTAGACCTACAACCACCATTAAATACAAGTTGTAAATTCGCAGTCGTCACTTTCTCTAGATAACATTCCTATCAATGAAAAATAGTACTACTATATAAAAAACAAGTATCGATCTTGACATTATAATTGTCAAGATGAGCACGCTGTATGGAATCAAACATTCATTCAGTTATGTCTGATAGAATAAATAAATTATGGTTAGATACAAAGTATTTTTCGTTCTGAATATTATGTTTAATGAGTTTTTATAAATGTACTTCAAAACTGATGTTAGCTTGCATCATTTACGGCATGGTTTAATTGTTCACACGTACATTTAATTCGAATTGAATTCGAATCGAATGCGAATCGAATTCTCTAATCGCGTTCAGACACTCTTCTTTTTTTAATTCGAATCAAATTGGAATTGGCTAAGTCGCATTATCCGATTCGCATTAGAAATGCGTTTTCATTAATGCGAATTAGTTAATTCGCTTCAATTCGAATTAAACTGTGGTGTGGACACTATTTAAATTGTAATTTGAATTACCCGAACAAGTGCTTGGACGGACAAATTAAAAGAATATCATCATTATTTCTTGATTCTTTAAAATTAAAAACGTAACACTAATAACATATATATTTTAGGATGGTTTTTAAATTCTTTAATGCAAAAAAAAGTTAAAAATATTACACCCTTATGAGATCCTGCCTTTTTATTTCAAATTTGATCCTAGCACCGTCCATAGAAATAAAATGGTCGTTCCCTAAAGGAGAAGTTTTTAAAGAAGTGATAAATCTTGACAAAATTTCAAAGACAAATCAAAGATTTTTTTTATTCAACAATGGTTTTTGCAAAATAACAGGAACAAAAATGTTCTTGGAAAAAATAGGAAAACCCTAGCCCTGTTATTGAAATAAGAAGGAAAAATAATTCCGATAAATGCCATATCAGATCAAGAGAGCAAGTTTGGAGATGTTATTGGCTCTAAAATGGTTGTTTTATTTTAAATTATAAATAATTGATAATGCGTATTAAAAGTTAACGTCTTTTGGACAGTAAAGCGATTTAACGCGCATTGCAATTTGTATTAAAATTTACGTTCGGACGTTAAACGTTTCGAATACGAATTAAACTAAACCGAATTAGTTAATGCGAATCGAAGTCGAATTACGTGTGAACGCAGCATTAATAGTTCATTTAATTTTCTATAGGGTTTCCAGTTCATGAAGTTCTGCAATTTTATGCAATTTTGCAAAAGCGAAGGATCTGTTCTCTCAGGAAAACGGACCTTCGACGATTCTAGCTGTTGTAGTTACTACTTCTCGAGTGTAACTGATATACACTATTCCAGAAATATGCGCTATGCGCACGGAAATCAGATCGTTTGCTTTTAGCAATACATCAACGACGGATGCCACATGTGGAGCAGGTTGCTTACCCTTCCGGAGCACCTGAGATCACACCCGGGTGTTGGTGGGGTTTGTGTTGCTAAGCCTTTAGTTTTCTATGTTGTGTTTTGTGTACTGTTGTTTGTCTTTTGGTCTTTTTTCTGTTTTTGTCATGGCGTTGTCAGTTTATTTTCGACATATGAGTTTGAATGTCCCTTTGGTATATTTCGCCTCTCTATATCAAACAAAGATCTGAGTCGTTTTTGTTCTCCATCAAATTAAAGTACTGTTCACAATCACAATTGAACTAAGCATTCAATAGATTTCAAATTCAAGACCACAAACACTAAATAGTCCCTATGGTCGTATACCCTTGGCAAAAACCAAGGTTAAATCTCGATTAGGTCTGTTAAAGTATTTGTACGTATAGCATGCTATTTCATAAACAATCCAATTAAGTATTGACATAATTTTAATGACCATGCCTTGTTATGAAGTTGCAGTTCTCACATGCAAAGTTTGGCTGTTCTATTACGACCCCTTTGAATCTTTGGCGTTAACAACCTTTGGTCTTAAGTGTACCTACATTAGTTCTTCCCGAAGCATGTGTTGTGTTCGTTTTAAGGGGATCATTCGTAAATATAGTTCAGATTTCCATAACTTTACCTTGTAAATATGTTATGTATTCTGAATCTGTCTTTGTTTCGAGTTGTCTCCGTCTTATAATGAAGTTGATTATTGATATCCTTTATCTCGTCTATAAATGATAAAACTAATCAAGAGCACCGAATAGCCAGGCATTCCCTTCGCGTTCTTACACAATCTAAATGGTTTTTATGATGGCATTCATTACATTGAATTTCCTCCTTTATATAACTCCAGTTGTTATCTTTGATTTTCATTGATCGAGATTATGTGAATCATTTTTGATAAAATTAACTTGTACCGCGTTGATGCAGGTTACGACATGTACTTTGGCAAAAAAAGTGGTATCTTCCTTCGTCTTAGTATTAGTATTAATAATTGTGTATTGTAAATTCGATGAAGCAGTCAATTAAGAATGAATTACATGTTAAAAAACATTGCTTTAATCCGGGGCGGGACCATTGAAAAACAGCTCAATAATTGTTCGATCATATCGATTATGTACCCCGAATTACACACAGACCAATCAATTACTGTGCTGTATCGAAAACGCAATAATAACTGTCAGTGTGTTCATTGTATTCATTTCTACAACTTCTTCATGGGTAAGGAATGAGTTATGAAATATTTGTAAATGCATATCCTGTTCGATAGATAAACTCATCATATTGTTGATATTGATAACTCATCACGAAAAAATATCATATGAATTTTTCAATGTATTCTGATTTACAACCGAGTTATGAGGGTATGGATGGGGGTCCTTCATTTCTGTATTCTTTAATTTTTATGCCATTTTTCTCTATTCTGTACTCTTTTTGCGCACTATTCTCTATTCTTTTTTTTTTGGTCCATTTTTCTCTATTCTTTATATTTTTTGCTCATTATTCTCTATACTGTAAACCCCCATCCACACCTTCAGTTATACGATACGATTTTCATGTGAAGAAAAATATGCTTCTTCTATCCGAGCACCAACTATGTCACCGAGTGTTTATTATAACAACCGAGTGGGTGCAAGGTGTGAAATAACTAGGACTTAAATAAATAATGAAAAATGTTTTACTTGGACTTCAAATTGAATTTCTTAAATCAGGGACCTCATCTGTCATTATATAAATAACACATAGCTGAGAGGGTGATAGAGCAGATTGTTACCCCGAGAAAACATTGTCAACTGAGGCGATTTGTGTTATTTAATTTATTATACTGAATGTTCTGTTATTACTGTTTACTAAATTTCAAATTCATAGTAATAAACTATGACATCTTGTACATAACAACCATCCGTATTTAATAAAGCGCACACTTGTTCAAGTGTCTCCGTGAAGGGTAATAGAGTATTTGCCAAAGGTTAGAGTAAATTGTCTCCCTCGTATTAACCAATCAAAATCTGGCCTTTTGACATGAAGTATAATAATGTCTTATGTCATATCTTACAGATTTTTTTTATTTGGAGATTTTGTTTATATAGATGGCAGATTTTGATAGTGTCTAGTAAATCTATTCACATCATTTTCAGACTCTCGATTATTTAGAGCTGACATTAACTTTGTACTTTATTTGACTTTTTTTTATTCGAGCATCACCGATGAGTCAGTCTTTTGTAGACGAAACGCGCATCTTGCGTACAAAATCTAGAGGTGGTATGATGAGTTCATTGTATAAACACCAGCCTATTTTCCGAATGTGACCTACCGGACTAGATTGATCATCGGGTTTGTACTAGTATAAGCAATACGAAGGGTGCCACATGTGGAGCAGGATCTGCCCTTCCAGAGCATCTGAGATCACCCCCTGTTTTTGTAGGGGTTCGTGTTGCTAAGTCTTTAGTTTTCTATTTTGTGTTTTGTGTACTATTGTTTGTCTGTTGGTCTGTTGGTCTTTTTCTTTTTTAGCCATGGCGTTGTCATTTTATTTTCGACTTATGAGTTTGAATGTCCCTTTGATATCTTTCGCCTCTCTTTATCGAAGACAGTATGTTGACCTCTAGATGTCTTTGGTTGGTCAATGATGTATATCCGAATGTCATTTTATCTATATGATTTACCTCAGTGATATCATCACAAGTCGCAATATCGGCACAAAGGTTCACTGTATTTGCCTGGTTACACTTCAGACATCTTAATGCTGTAAAACAATCCATAATTAATTTATCATGCAAATAAATACTATTATGAAGTGGTAGGTCTTTTTCTCTTAGCGTTTTTCACATGGTCTTTTCGTGTTGAAATTCCCAAATGGTATTACATGGAAAAAATAATTAAATTTATGTCACTGCTCCGTCTAATAAAAAACAAGCAACAGTAACACAAAATACTAGAGTATCTAAAAAAAAAAAAAAGAAACATAAATTATAGTGGAAATTGAAAAAGGTGTGATTTGATGGGATATGCTTTGGTGTAATTTAAGTTTTTATCACATTAACTTATTTTGTTTCGATTGTTTGTACTGTTACTTATTCCCAGAGTAGAAAATGGATATTTTAAGATTAAATTGATACTTTGACTTAATGGGGAACCAATTTAACTACATGAAAAAAAGTTATAAAAACATTCTTCGTATGAATTATATAATAAGTATATCAAAGATTAAGAAAAGGCGGAAATCCAATTTATCATCAATAATTTTTAAGTGGTCTATACACATCAAATGCACTTTAATCTATTAAAGGAAGGTCAATGAATCACTTAATTTTTAATCAACTGTCCCTTTTCAAAATATTTCACAAAGACATATTCTGATAAATCTGAAAATTATTGCGCGTCACTTGATAATGGAAGGAGAAGTGGTATGGCGTATACATTCGTGACCCAATTTCCCTACATGGACTTGAAAATGACCCAAAGCAGAGAGACATAGCTTTATTGCTGCTCTTTATATCAAACTGTATCGTAAGCAATTGAAAGCTTGGATACATGATCTGTATTACAGCACACTGGAGTTAAAATCAAAGACCATTATACAGCAATATGTTGAATGTTTCTTACAGTTAAGGTGGTACCCAACACCTTGACTAAAATTAATTTGGCTCGTTTAATTTTCATAAAATTTTGACATAATGTTTACTTTGACCCTTTGACAAAAATATAAAAATTTCAAAAAATTTGAACCAACCACTTTATCAGAAAAATTTCGTTGGTTATATAGCAGTTTGACAAACATTAATTTTGATCATTGGGAAGCTTAATATTTCCTTAACAATACAACGTAATTAAAACGTTTAGCTGATTTTTACAGAGTTATCTCCCTGTAGTGTTAGGTACCACCTTAAGGAATATAATTCAATACATCCATTACCAATGACAGCAGTGAGAAAGCCTTTCAAAAACCAGGAAAGCGTTGTTATATTTATGAGTAATGGTTTGCAGATGGTGAACACGTGATGGTGAACATGTTTGTGAAGAACGTAACAACAATCTTACTCAGTGTAACTCAAATTTGATCATCATGAAAAAGGTATAAAACTATTCTGTACACTTTCAGTAATTTCCATCATATAACATATTCAAAAGAAAGTCTTTTGCAAGTTCGTAGCTTTTGTAAAAGCTTTTGTAAAGGCCGTACGGTGACCTACCATTGCTTATATTCACTTATTTGCACTCTGGCGGACAGTTTTCTAATTGGCAATCATACCACATCTTTATTTGTATATCTATCAAAATTAAGCTTTATTATATTGGTACATTTGATCGAGGAAGCTTACCGCTGACCCTACCGGGACACTCGAGTTAACATGCACAATTAATTTTACGCTAGGATAGAACTGTGTCCTTAGTTAACTGTGAAATGTTTTATTAATTGTTGTTTGTGTTCTATTTTTTCTAATTGTGGCCTTGTATATTTCTATCTCTAACGATACTTTTCTTACATTAGCTAATCGATGCACAAGCACTTAACGCTATATTTACGCCGCTATAATCTCGCAATTCTGTAGACGGTTACGTGTCACTTATTGATGTAATTTTCTTTAATGAAGTGTGAAACCACATTATGTTATTTGGCTACGGCTAATTAATGCAATACAATGAAAGAGGAACAAAAACCATGAGACAAATTACATATAATAATGAATGTATTAATACCTACCAAAAACAGAAGGCAATAACGCCAGTATTATTCCTAAAATATAATAAAATTTATGTTACACAGAATAATATAGTTTCACATTTAGGCTTCCCTTTTTAATATGGTATTTACCATTTTATCAAATGCGAAACTCTCTCTCTTTCTCTTTGTATTCCGTACACGCACGATCCTGGAAAATTGGCAAATATAAACAGTATCGAGCACATTTTGATCCTGCTTTCTAAATTATGTTTCGTCAAGTTTTATTTTTCTTATTCAAGTTCTGAGTGGTCATTATGTTGGTGGCCGTCCCGTGCAGATTTGTTTTAATGTAACGACATATGGTCTAGAAAGGCAAAGGGGAGGGATTGCCCACGAAAAACTGTTTATCCGTATCACATTTCGTGCCCATAGGAAGTCACGTTTTCTTGATCATGAGCACTTCGTTGTTTATCTTTATGTGTACGTCTGTTTTTCGAAGAAGTCTGGTTTTAACGGTTAATATGGTCCGTTGTACTATACGGTACTTTAGGTGACATAAGTCATTCTATTATTTGTATTATAAATGCCGCAAAATATCTTCCGTTCTATAAATTGCAAAAATCGTGAAATAGACGTGCATTTGTGACAGTGACGATGACTTAGTTTTTTGCAAACCCACAGAAATGCAGAATTTATGTCTAAAAACAATTTTTCGTTTATTGTAAAATCGAACGTCCCATTCTGCCATGCACAATTTCCCCCTTTACGACCCTCGTTTGTATATGGCACAAACGTTCAATATCAAATTTCTTCTAAATTCGTTCTTTCTCCAGACATAATTCATCATTTCAAAAAAGATTAATCATTGTCAAAACTAAGTTTAAACAATATCAAATATGTGAAGGGTCACTAAACTTGCTCTTATTGTAATATTAAGCATCATAACTAAAATCGGTCATATCGGAAAAAAATTGAAAAAGTATGTTGTGTCCATGCTTTATCGTTATTTGATGTTTTCTAAATGTTAGAGACCCAAATAGTTGACTAGGGTATACAAATATGGTCAACTGGATTTCTCCGATCCGATATTAAAATCTATGCTAAAGGCGGACGTCCATTGGTTGTTTTGGTTGTATAAATACGTAGCCACGTCCAACCATACTAATATAATCATATGCAAGCGTCGTGCAGAGATATTACCAAGCGTTTAGCAGGTTAAAGAACCCTTTCAACGAAATTTGAAGGTTCGAAGGTGGTAAGGTTTATGGCATTTTTGTTGTCATTTTCTAACATATCATCTTTTTCCAGTGGTAGGTAAAATGTCCCGCCTTTTATCCTGGTCGACCCACTGAGGTCTCGTCCTGAATAGGTAAGAAAACATTTATTAATCAATCATCTATTAACACGACATTGCATGCGTTTTGTGCTGGTGTGTGACAGTTTTAGTAATTCTTTTGGATTGGTATTCTTTGGTCTATTAGAGGAATATGAATTTTCAAAGTATTAATTATTCAGAATAGAACTTATAATTATAAATGTGTCATCACCAAACCATTGTTCTTTGACCGTAATCGGTTTCGTGGTAGGTATAGTGTCCAGCTGGTTTTTTGAGTGATATTTGATCGTGTTTTTTTCGAGTGTGACCACTTTGTTTTCGAGTGAATGTGATCAAAAAGTCGAGTACAGTTAAGTACAGTTAAGTACTGTCGAGATTATGTCGAGTCTTGTCAAGTAAATTCTGTGCTCAACCTTACTGGTCGAGCACAATATATGGTCTTTTCAGACTCTGAGCAGTTTGTAGTGTCTGTTCTTAAGATAAGACTCTTGCTTCCTAATAAATAATGTTATATCGTTCTAGAAATGTTCAATTGCTCCTACTGTGAAGAGGAGTCTGATCAAGCGTATACTATTCTTGGTCACACAGTAATAAAGCACCAGAATTGCTTAATTTTCATCAGAAATTAAAAGAATACAAATTGACAATGTAAGTTTGTGAGGGGAACGCATATTATAAACACATTTATTTTTTTTTAATTATTATTTCAAAGGGATCGTATTGAAGCCTACAGATTATTTATTTTGTTGTTTATTAAATACATTGGACAAGTCCCCGACAGCAATGAACCAACTACCAAATAACCTGGAATTTTGTAAGATCAATATATTATAATTGAGTTAGATGGGCTGATTCAGACCAGTCTAGACTAAATTTTAAGGTCAAGACTGAGTCGAGACTGGTCGAGACTGAGTCGAGACTGGTCGAGACTGGTTGAGATTGGTCGAGCATTTGTCGAGACCATATTCAGACTATACCAAGATTATCAAGTACTCAATCAGACTTATTAGGTAAAGTCGAGACCAAAGTCGAGTACAGTTAAGTACAGTTAAGTACTGTTGAGATGATGTCGAGTCTTGTCAAGTAAAATCTGTGCTCGACCTTACTGGTCGAGCACAATATATGGTCTTTTCAGACTCTGAGCAGTTTGTAGTGTCTGTTGTTAAAACCGTTTTTTAAAAGGACTCATTGAGTTTTTATAATATCGTAATACTGCAGGGTTACGGTTAAATGTTTTCAGAACAGAAAATTATCAAATTGAAAATGGTTAAATTTTATCAACATAGTAATCTGTTTTTGTGACTTATTAAGAATATATTATATTGTCCTTCGCTAAATTATAGTTACAAACTAGAAAAAGTCAGTTTTGAAGCCAAAGAATGTCTTCTTTCTTATTCATATTTTCTTCAAAAAACCCGGACCATTTGTTTAAAAACCCGGACGTTTAAATGTTGCTCTCGAAAAAACACGGACATTTAAAACACTATATTGTAAGTTAACTTAAAGGAAATTCTGCGTCGTTTGTGTGCACAACATGTATAGCATTCAGAATAAGATGAACAACAGTCACGAATAAAACTAATACACTTGCGAAATAGCAGTAAATCGATTGATCGCATGTAAATTCACTCGAAAAAAACACGATCTCCGCCGGACACGACACCTACCGTGTTTTTGTTTAAAAATACTCTTCGCAAGGACTTACCTGTCCGACCTATGATCTCGGGAAATGTAAATAAAAACTCACCAAAACTAGCAAAGTTCATTTTGTGTTCTGAAAAAGTGAAAACGAATAACAGTTCTAAGAGTAGTTATTACATTATTACTGTTAATCTAAGGTCTATCTTGAGATTAAGGAATTGTATTTACTTTTGCCAAAGTTTTATTTATGTATGAATATACTCATGCTATCAGAAGAACAGAGCGCAATGTAAGAAGAAAGTATTTCCACATGGCTACTGTGCTGTTGTAGCTTTCAAAACTTGGTCTGAAGCGTAAATAATACAGTTTATACAAGAAAGACGTTATCAAGCGCATTGAAACACATTCGCCATTTATATTCTCAATTTTACAATAAGTTAACAATTCAGATGATATATTTTATTTATTTTGAATTTATACAATTTATTTGCCATCCTTTCCTCTATCTATTTAGTCATATTATTCATGTTATTTGCAAGATTAAAATATAAGAAAACAAAGTTATCTCCCTTACTACAAGGAACATCCGTTATTGTAGTAATAAGTACGTAGATACTTTTATAATGTGATTCAGATACAAATAAATTATAAGAAAATTACAGAAACGACATTAAAAATCTTTTGTTTAAATAGTTCATGCATAGTTGACCTTCTACGATGATTGAGATCTGGGTTTCGCCTCATTGATTTTAACGTTCTAAAATGTTTTATCTATCTATTTATTTATTTACATTTGACTTTCTTAGTCTTGGTCGCACTTGATGAAAAAAGAGAGGCGAAAGATACCAAAGGGACCTTCAAACTCAAAAGTCGAAAATAAACTGACAACGCCACGGCAAAAAAAGAAAAGACCAAAATACAAACAACAATATACAAAACAGAACACAGAAATTTAAAAAACTGAGCAACACGAACCCCACCAAAAACTCGGGGTGATATCAGATTCTCCGGAAGGGTAAGCAGATCCTGCCCACAGGTGGCACCCGTCGTGTTGCTCATTTAAGTACAAACCCGGTGATAAGTCTTATTTGGTAGATCACATTCGGAGAAAAGGAGGACGTGATTGTGGTTATAACGATTGGAACAGATGTTCTATAACGGTCAACCAACTCGTGATGGCGTCCGTAAAATTTCCGAAGGAATTATTTCAACTTCACTACTTGGAACTCTTGGTTTAACAGCTTCCTTGTGAGCAGTAACCCGCTTTCATGGAAATTATGATAGGAAACGCAAGCTCGGAATATCGTTTCAACTGGGAAAATATACTCTATATGCAGGCGCTGCTGGAATGTTTCTACATAGATTTAAGTCAAAATATGAGGCCGACTTAATTGTATCTGTTGTTTCCTTTATTTCTAATTCGATGGGATAGATACGTTCAAAATAGCCACCAAACAATGAAGTATTTAGTGAAAAGACATCATCTATATAGCGGAAAGTGAAGTTAAAGGATAATGCTAGCCTCTTTTCGTTCTTCATAAAAAGCTCCTGTATAAAGTCAGCCTCATATGAATAAAGGAACAAGTTGCCAAGAAGAGCACAGTTGGTTCCTATGTTTGTTGAAAAACACGTCCTCCAAACGTAACAAATATGTTGTCAATCAGGAAATCAAGTATCTTGATAAAAAGTAAAATAACAAAAATACCGAACTTTAAGGAAAATTCAAAACGGAAAGTCCCTTATCAAATGACAAAATCAAAAGCTCAAACACATCAAACGAATAGAAAACAACTGTCACATTCCTGACAGTCATTCCTTAGTTAGAAAATTGTGGATTAAACCTGGTTTTATAGGTAGCTAATTTAAACCTCTCACTTGTGTGCCAGTCGTATATAATTCAATTATATTGACAACAATGTTGATAATGGCAGTTGACAAGATACTTGTAGTTCGTGTTGCTTAGTCTTTAGTTTTCTATGTTGTGTTTTGTGTACTATTGTTTGTTTGTTTGTTAGATTGTATATACTCTCACAGATCTGTGGAAATTTATGTAACCACATCTGATTCACACGACATCTAGAATAGGTAGTTTCACAATATTTTTGAAGCACGGCTTTGATTGCTGATAAAATTGATGTTAATAATTTAGAAAGAAGTTTCATGGAGTACTTGGAAGACACATCGATATAACGTTGTTTGTAAGAACACTTATGTAATTTAGGTATCCAATACAAAAAAGGAAGATCCATTTCGTCAGCTTTAGTTAAAATTCCAAAGGAACTTAGAACAGACCTATGATTATCCAGGACTTCCTCCTTGGTAATCAAGGTTCTAATACCAATAAAAAGGCATAACATGCTTCCTAACATTGGTAGCAGTCACAATATACAAGCAATCAAACAATTAACAATGACAACCCAGCGTGAAAAAAACGAACTCGGAATAATAAGGGGAAAATTTCTTTTCCATTACCACTGAATTTTATGATAAAAAATCCGATATGTTTTTTTAAATGTATATATAAATACTCGCAATTATCGATTTGAAATATGAATATATAAACATATTTACGAAGTTTCGTCAAAATGTAAAAGTCGGTAAATAATTTGCATTGACACATTTGATATGAGATTATATTGCATAATATTATTTTAAGACAACAACGAAAAAAAAAAAAAATTTTAAAATGCTAATTTTAATTTTATAGAAATTTTTCTAGATAGCAAGCCTTACCTTGTCCTTTCCTGTCACGAAGTAGACATTAGAAGAAATTTCCAAGAGATAAGACATGACAAGAACGTACAATAGAAACATTTCCTATTATGTATTGAAGTCATTTGGTACACTAACGGTCTAAATAGAACTTAGCCGTTCATAGTTTATATAAATAAGGAAATGGGGTTTGAGCTTCAATGAGAATATTATCCTTTAAAACTGTGAACAATTACAAGTCACCTAATGGCCTTCAGCAATCTGCAAAAAAATGTAGCATATAAAAGGACCCTGATATGACACAATGTGATAGAATTCAAACGAGAAACCCGACGGCCTGATGAATACTACAAAAAAAGTCATTAATTAGGTCTTTCCACTTTTCCGTGGACCTTTTGCCTTTGTTCTGATTATTATTATTTTTTTTGTTCTTCCGCCTATTTTGTTTAATTCGCTGTGTGGTTATTTTGGAAGATGTCGCTTAGATATTTGGTATATGATATCGAACAGATTATACGCTTTTGAAACTAACACCGCTTAATCGAATACTTTTTCTTGTTATTTCTAATACTTTGCAACCGTAGAAAACTGAAAATTTATTTTTCCAAATTACTTGTTATATCCTCAGAATATTTTGTTTAATTTTGACCGAAGCGGTATAGAGATTCCATATGAGAGTTATTTCCCCTTAAGTATTTGATATAAGTGAAATGTATTTGAAACTGGCAAATCATAAGTGATGGACACCTAGGGTCTTTTTATTTGAGGTCCTTGGTCATTAAAAAGAAAATGAGGTCAAGGTCAAAGGTCAAGGTCAAATTCTAAATTTGATTTTGGCTTGTTATCACTTATTTTCAGAAATCGTATAAGATGTCGACAAAATATTTTTACAGAATTGTTAGTTGCGACATGTCGTAAAACAGAAATTTTGGTTGAAAGGGTACGTAGACTTTAAATGGGAGTTTTTCCCCTCTTATATTTAAAATTAGCTGTATGGTGATATAACTCATAAACCATATATAGTAGAGACCTAGGGTCTTTCGATTTGAGGTCCTTGTTTTATGAACTTGAAATCGGGGTCATGGTCAAAGCTTGATTTGACTTACTAGACTTTGATCTTTGCTCTAACTTCTAATTGGTTCAAGATAAAGTAAAAGGGTATTTTAAATTGGGATACAGATATATGACATTGAAGGATATTACATACTTTAAATGGGCGAGTTCAAACAGGTAGATTCAGGAAATTTCCCACAGAGTTAAGACTCTGTACACATTGAAACGTTATGGTAGACGAGTTTCATTGAAATTGTGTTATTAATGTGGTATGGGAGTATAAACAAAAAATGGTAGAATGTTTTTATACTTTGCCAAATTGTAGTATATACTGTGATATGTTCAAAAATATATTAAAAAATATAGGTCAATGAGCATGAAGATTCCTTTATAGATTATACTTTTTCAGAGTAACCTCCCCCTTATACCAGAGTTAAAAAAATGAAATCAAGAAAAAAAGTTGATTATTTTATAAATTATCTAGCTTAACCCATTTCTTGTGAAACACTGTTTATTTTACGTTTTGACAATAAATCAAGGGAATAACATCAAGATAATCTTATATTTTGTCTGTTTTATTCTTTAGTAATTGGAAAGAATTGTATCCACACGGATTGCATCTGTATTCAGGCATTCGACAATTTAACAAACATTTTTGTAAAGTAACTATTTCCTCGAGCAAAATATTGCTTTAATCACAGAAGTATTATATATTTCATATTCAAGTAAGAGTGATGATTTTTTTACTGTCAAAGAAGTAGATTTTTGGTGTAGTTGTTATATTACACTTTCTTTAATATAGAGTCCGTTCAATGTTTACGTGATGAAAATTTGACCCATTTATGTTCAAACAAAGAAATATTGATTGATAACATAATAATAGTATTATAAAACTAATACCGTAAGAAAGCATTTACTATGATGAATAAGAAAATTGAAAGTCCTTGAAAGTGATAAGTGCAATGAGCATATGGATGTTTAATTCATAGTATTTACAACTATGGTGTAATTGTAAAGCAATATATTGTCCTATGGAATATTGTCCTCCAAGACAATATTTCATGACTTTTCTATGAAAAATTTGTCCAGGAACAGACGAACAATATTTCATTGGGGCCATTATATTATGTTACATAATAGCCACAATTATAAAGGTTCATTTCATTACAAAAATGTTGAAAATAGACTTCTTTTCAAACTGTTGGAAAAAGTGGTCTGTTCATAATGGTATAAATAGTTGTGATATTTTACCGGTAAACCCTTGCACTTTGCACTGTCTGTATCTTATCGAGTTCATAACAGTCACACAGCTATTCCGGTTATTTCAGCATTTAGAGCATACAATGGGCACAACTTATGATTCG